ACTAAACTTAGCATCCATACTGAATATGAGTAGTCTACTATTGTATTACCTTTATTTCTCAAACAATTCAGTATAACAGTTCTTTACATGAATATAATAAGTAAATAATAAATATTTCTGTGTGATACAGTGAGTCCATTTAAATATTATCATATAAATAATGTAGAGATCGTCTGAAGTATATAAGAAGATATGCATGACTTCTGTGCCAGCACTGTGTCATTTTATGTAGGTATTTTAGTTAGCACCAATTAATTTCGCTACCCTGTATTTACTGAAGGTCCACTATATATGGCTGCTGCCTTCATCTCTGACATTGTCCAATCAATGGCTCCCCCCATTCTGTTCAAATACCCTGGCATTTCTTCTAATCCAGCTTGCATTTAGCATTGAAATACAGACATCAATTCCACACAGAAACCCACTCAGATCATCCCATTAATTCACCTTCATCTCTATCTCATTACTGCTTCATTTTTCTAATTAGCATTTGACACAATCTGAAGTCACCCTGTGCACATAGTGTCATACCCACTGTGGCAGATGCTACCAGTTATCTATCCAGCTGTCATTTATTTTGTTTTGTGGCTAAGAATCTGACTACACACCCAAACACCAAGCCATGGACTAAGATAAGAACATGTCAATAATGACAACTCTGTTTGCCTTTGCAGAAGTTGTTGATAGAATGGGATTTAAAAGAAAGACTGATGATTCTTGAAAATTCTCATTCTTAAAGCATGCAAAGAACAAACGGCTAAGTTTCCCCCTTGACACCTACATTTCAATGTGATTTCTAGAGTTCTAGCAGTTGTCTTGTGCCCATGAATTGACCTGGCAAAGGAAAACAGAAGTCACCAATGTTATGATGGAAGAGCAAAAACTTGGGTTTTGGGGGAGCCCTCTAACCGCAATAAAACTGCATACTTCCTGATAAAGCATCATGCTCAATAGTTTTTTTTTTACTTAAAAGTTTACTTTTCATTTTACATACCAACCCCAGTTCCCCTCCCTCCTCTTCTCCCCCCACCCCTCTTCCCAAGCCCCATGCACTCCTCATGGGGAGGTAAGGCCTTCCTTGGGGAGTCAACAAAGTCTGGCACAGGATCAAGCCCTTCCCTGGTCTCAGATTGGCTTTTCACTCCACCTTCTCCTTTTGCTTTGTTTTTCTGTTTGTTTTGCAGCATATGAGTCTGATAAACAGACCTTATACAAGAATGGCAAGAACTCTGCTATTAAGTTTTACTGCAGCTGTTCTGTTCTCCTGGTGAACCCATCTTGCCTCAGCTTCTTAGCTTGACTCTGTGCTTTTTATCACATTTTCCTGGCTCATCGTGGCATAAATTTAGGTCAGTCAAAGAAATGATTGTGTATGACTCCACAAGCAGATCTTGCATCTCTGCTTCACACTGTGTGCCTTAAAAGCTCAGACCCAATGGAGAGATAGGGGTTGCCCATCCACTGGATGTACTGCCTCTTTTGGTTTTCTCATGGACTTGATCACATTACACCATAAGGCAGTATCTTCAGAAGTAAACATTCCTCTTTTTCACGTCATGTCATAAACACATTAAGAACTGGACCCATACCTTCCTTCTATTTTTCTCCTCCGCTAACAGCAAGGTTGCTCAGGGAATGCTTGTTGTGTGGGAGCAACATGGCATAGTGAGTGGCTATGCTTCAGCCTTTGAGAACAGGAAAGCCAGAACTTATACCTGTTATCTGTTTGCTGGGCCAACCACAGGCAAATTACCTAACCTCTTAGGCCTTGTTTTCTTCATTGACAAAGCAGAGACAACAATAGTGTATAGAGAGTTGGATATCATTCTGAAAGAAAGAATTTATTTATAGAACATTTAGCACATAGATTATCAGAGAGTAAGCACCCATTAGGTAATTACTATTATTATTCACATACTTTTAAACGAATGAGTGAAAATTATTTCTAGGAGGGCAAAAAATATTAGTACTCTTACAGGTAAATATAATACATTGCATTGGTGGATTGCGATTTCACCCCCCCCCACCCCCCCCCACACCACCACCACCATGGACCTTGTTATGTATCCATATAAAAACTAGAATTTTTTTGTGTCTACTGTGTCATAGCAGAAAGCATAGTAGAGCTGACAATGAGTCTGAATCTACTTTTTCTGAAAATTGACTAGGAAATGACCACATTTCTGTGTGTATATTAATGATTTTTGTTTCTGTACATTGGGAAAAATAACATGAAGCATGGGACTTCTGGTTACCAAAACTGACTCTAGTTAATTAAATCAGAAAGGAATTTATTGTCAAGATCATGGAAAGGCCAAGGTTGGGTTGTAGTTCATGGAGTCTTCAGGAAAGTTCTTTGGTTTTCAGGTTCGTAAATGGTGGTGAACACAGACACAGCCAAAAAGGTCATACTGTTAAGATCGCCCACCCATGGGCTCCGTGTCCCCAAGGCCACCCACTGTCACATTAATGGGTTCTGTTTTCCCTAACATTGACCTGCAGCAGCCTCCAGGTTTTCCATTCCAGTGTGACCACAGAGAATAATTTCTGAATGTCTGTAAGTACTGTTCATTCTTCCCCATCCTGTCTAGTGAACCAGACTTGATCACACTGGCTTCCTCCATCTGTTCTGAGGAAGGGAGAGGAATGGCCTGAACCCTTAGGTCTGCAGTGAGGAAGTAGGTCATGTCTCCCACTTGCCTGGGACTTAGTCATTCATTAGGGGTATTTAGAAGATGGGTAACTTCTCACTGCCCAATAAAACACCTAGAAACAGTGGAAATCAGGAGCAGAAATAAAAGATTCAGAATTGGTCCATTGGACAAGTTGATGGCTTACCTAGCATGTTTGTGGCTTTCTGCTCAATCTCCTACCATGGCATAGGGATGCCTTTGAAGTATTATCCCCTGTGCAGTTAAGAGAGATCTTCTGTAGACATTTCCTACTCCAAATGCACATGAAACAGAAGCAAAAGAACCTCTATGCTTTTGCACAGATGGAAATTTAAAGAAAATCCTTCTCCCTCAGCAACATTTATCATGGCTAGTAAAGTAACTGCATGGCATACTGACATTTGTAAAAAGCGTAGTGATGTGCCGAAAACAGTTTCTGTTGCCAGATACCTATTGGCAGGCTTAGAAACAGGTCCCCTGGAGCCTGATGGGCAGAGGAAACACCTCCCTTTTGAAAGGAGTAGCAGATGGTCGACTTTGCCATCCCTGACAGGGTAAAACAGGAGGAAACTGTGGGGCTCCATCTGGGAAAGAGCCTGTCTTCTGAGACCAAGCAGTCAATGTGTTTGCAGTCTTTACAATTTCTGTGGTGCTCTTTCCAAAGGGCAGATTGTAGAAGGCTGGAAAAGTCCATCCAGGAAGAACCACACCTTTTCAGGTTGCTTCTGAGCAGGTAGGACAACCCCGAGAACCCCCAGGCAAAAGATGGCAAGGTGGAGCAGAAAGAACCTCCAGCAAAAGCCACCAATTGTTTCTTAGGAAAATGAAGACGTGGGTGGCTGTCAAACTCTGATGCTTGAAAATGTTGGTGATGTAAGACTTTATTCTTCCTCTGAATCTGATCCACCCAACTAAGACAGAAAACGCACTCATGACTGTTTCCAAGGCTCTTACTCAGGGACAATTCATATCCCCTTGAAGGCTATTCCCATTTTTAAGGTCCAGTTCCCATTCGCTTGTTGAGCTTCTGCTTTCAAGAAATTTAGCCAAATCCCTTTTCTTCAAGGCTTTGAACTTGTCATTTATCCTTAACCCTCGGAAGTAAATTCTGTGACTTGTCCAATGTAAACAGGGCTTTCCTGGTAGAGCACAAGAAAGGCACGTCTTAGTAAAAGGCTGAGGCGAAGCTGAACAAATTTGTGTGCACTTAGTAAAACACCAATGGCTGTTTGAAGTAGAGGTTCTGTGGGGGGAAATCATAATTTGGTTATCAATTTATTGATTAGAAATAAATGATCAGATACTGTATACTACGATGATTTGGACATCAGCAGGTGGCTGGTTAGAGCTCTCAAGAGAGATTTTTGTTAGGGTTTATGATATATTTACATTTTAATAAGATATCTTAAGTTTGTTTCATTTCCTTGGTTTGAGTGTTCATCAGTATTAATAAAATCAATTATTCTGGGTCTGAATCTACCTGACATTAAAACAATTATAAATGGTTATTTTTGTGTCATCCTCAGCTTTCCAAAATTGCTGATAATTTTGTCTTTAAGCATTTGAAGAGCCAGGTTTATGAAATGTTTCCCTTTTTTGGTCCCAAAGCTCATAATGGCACTTTTCAGCAGCAGGTGCTTAAGCCCCACCCCTCCACACACACACCATTTACCTTTGTCATTTTTTTTACTAAATGTGACATGGTGGGTTGCCCTTACCTGTTAGTCACACCCTCACACGTCTCAAGCATCATGGACCAAATGTTTTGCCCTTTGTTTCTAAATCTATTACAAAGTTTTGTTCTAAGCCATGTCAGCGAAGGCACTTATTAAAGTGCCACTGAGAACTACATTGCATTTATGCTGCTAAAAATCATTTAATGGATGAACAACTTGGAAAAAAAGAACTCTCACCACCCACACACATCATGCTAAAGCAGGGTAGTGTGTTTCGCACTTGCTTTCCTGCTTAGACTGAGAAAGATTGCTGATGCCCATCTTTCCCTCCCTTAGCATTTCAACTTCGTCCTGGCCAGCTGCTGAATCGTTAAGCAGAATGCTGCTCTGTCTTTGTAGTTCCAAAACCATGTGTCTCTATTGCCAACTGCACATCTTTATGGCAGCCACATGCTTGCAAAAGACTTAAATTCAGAATATTCATTTGGCCTCTTATTATTGTAAAAATACAAAAACAAAATGGGGAGAGAGAGAAAGAAAACTTCCGTGTTCTATGCTGTTGTTCTCATCGTGAGATGCTCCATGGAAAGGAGCCCGAGTAGTGGGCAGAGGCTGTGAGTCCCCGATAACGAGCGCCTAACATTTCCGTGGTATTCCCATTTGCTAGTGCGCTGCTGCGGCCACACGCCTGATTGATATATGCCTGCAATGGCACTTTTCCATTTGACACTCTCCCTCTCTCTCTCCCTCTCCCTCTCTCTCTCCCTCTCTCTCCCTCTCTCTCCCTCTCTCTCTCCCTGGGTCGCTTAAACAACAGTCCTAACTTTTGTGTGTTGCAAATATAAAAGGCAAGCCATGTGACAGAGGGACAGAAGAACAAAAGCATTTGGAAGTAACAGGACCTCTTTCTAGCTCTCAGAAAAGTCTGAGAAGAAAGGAGCCCTGCGATTCCCCCAAGGTAAGCAGGAAAACAAGCGCTGCCGGCTTGCCTAGGAAATTACTTCTTTCCAAACTCAGCCTTTCATCCTTCTTGCAGACAAAGAGACAACCTTTAAATACCACTTAAATTTGCATCACTTTAATTTGCATTAATCTGTAGCTTGCTAGCCTTGTGGTTTTTTATTTGTTTGTTTGTTTGTTCTAAATGAACGGGTCTTTGAAGTGTGTGACAGAGCAGGAAGTGTCCCAGAGAAGCTGGAAAATATCTTTGGGATTGATTTCTTTTCAAACTCTGCGTAGTTAGATGTAACTTTGAAATGGTTCTTCTATGTGACACCACGAAGGGGGATAGAGAAGCAGCAGTTGCCGACTTGCATTTGTGGAGTCGCCTGTCTTCCCTACCGCCTTCATCCCTCTTACAATGGGGGCACTATTAATGCAGGCGAGTCTGCGAGGTTAAACGTGCACTGTTTACTTTTATTACTCCTTATGTATGCGGTTGATCTCCTGCCAGGGCTGTGCCGGGAGTGCTCAGGATGACTTCAAACAATAGGCAACATTTATGCCTAGCTTTCAGTGTCACATTGCTCCTTTGCACTCTTCTCCCATCCCGCGTTGGGACTTTGCTTCCATGGATACATTCAAGAGTGTCGGGAGAGATGAGGATGGGTTTGCTGTATGATTTTGATTGGGTGAAAAGTCTGAGGAAATGCATGCTGTTTGCCTTGGCCTTATTGCAAGGGGTTATTTTTAGTAGTCGGTTTGTCCCTGCAGCACCACCAAGGATCCAATGTCCAAGAAGTGACCAGGAAAGGATGCTCCTGACAGCACAGGGACCAGGACCTGGAGGAATGACTCTCACAGACACCTGAGGAATATTCAGAGGGTTCTTTCCAATTCCTGAATGGGAGTTCTCTCATTAAATGAACAATTGAGCTGTAGGAGGCCCGGGCATAATTCTCTTGAGGGACGGGAAGTTTGATTGTGTACAGAATGTTAATGACTCAGAAAGCACAGTAACTGAGGCTCATTGTAATGGACAAGCCCAGATAAGCCTCAGTGAAAGAGCACCCCCTCCTCTCTCTCTCTCTCTCTCTCTCTCTCTCTCTCTCTCTCTCTCTCTCTCTCTCTCTCTCTCTCTCTCTCTCTCTCTCTCTCTCCCTCTGTCTCTCTCCCCTTCCCTCCCTTCCACCCTCCCTCTCCCACCCTTCCTCCTTGATTCCCTCTCTCCCCTGAGATTCAAGTGTGAAAAGTGATCTATTTGGCAAGATGAGAATTCCTTATACTTTGTAACTGTCATTCCTAGCAGGCATGGCTGGTGTAGAGTACGCTTGTCTCCAGTTCCAATGTTAGTGTGTTTTAATTACAATATACAACATGGCAAACTGCTTCAACACAATATTAGCTACCAGGTGCATGTGGAGCACAGAGAGGCTGCAAATGCACTGTTGGCTGTGGGTGTCAGCTAACTGCATCAGGAACTGTAGACTGTCTCAAAATGGCATTTAGGCTTCATGCAAGTATCTGCTCACTTTCTTTTCATTCATTTCACTCCTCAAAGTGAACTTGAGGGTTCTGTTGGCCAGCTGTCATTGTGCAACAGGAGGCACAATTTATGGGGCTTCCCCCCCCCGATTTTCACAAATAACTAGCATGAGGAGCATTGTTGTATAAAAATCAGACATTTAGAGGAGTGAATTCACAACTGCTTCACTAATCAAGAAAGGCTGTAAAAATAATATGGTTCGATTGTTGTAATACTTTATGACAATTAAAAACTACTGCTGTTAGCAAAGTATTTAAGTGACTGAAAACAATTTTCTTAACTGTTATTCAGACCATTATATGAGAGTGTTTGAACACAAATCCAACGCCATGCATCATTTCTTTTAAGATACATTTGGTTCAGGTAATGGGAGAAGTGGCTAAGGCGTTCTTATTATTCGCTGTGTATCAAGCAGCTGACATCCACAGATGGAAATATGCCTGTGGAGTTCTCAATCTTAATTTGAGGTCCAATGACACTGTCAAGGGAAAAATAAATCATTTTTCAATACATTTAACAATTTCCAACTCATTTATTTTCCTGGGCCCTTGAAAAATGACTTGCTCAGAATTATAAGCACCAATGGTGGCCAGAGACTGTTACTGTCTTGAGAACTCACAATTTCAGTGCCATTGTTCTTCCTGGGCAATAATTCATCCCATCTTCTTTTTAGCACACATACTTATTAAGCATTTGCAGTACTTGCAGTGTGCCTGGCACTATCCTAATCCTGATGGATACAATGGTGAATGGTACGTTGCCCCACACTTAATTTTGGTCTGTGTGCTCTTTCCTATATTGAATCTGGGAGGAGAAACAGTTTTGCTAATGAGGAATTGGACAAGAACTTTCTGCTTATTAGGAACCATGTCATACAGATGCTAGTGTTCTAGATTACTTGAAATACTTATCAATCGGTCTTCTGTTAATAATGAAGGGTTCTCCTCCCCTTTGACTGTTTGTTCCAGATGCTGAGTGTATGACACTTGCACAGCTAATATGATCAGACTTTTCTTGGGGTGGGGATAGTAGCAGTCTGGAAAAGGAGTAGCATACCGTTCCTCAGTTCTCTTGAGCACCCTCCGGAAGGGAACTGTATGCTCTCTCTGTCAGGAGATGGTAGTGAGTCACCTCCCCAGCAGCTGACATCAGGCCTACTTGATGAATCACTGTGTTGGAAACATGCAGAGAGGAAGATGCCATCACTCTCTCCCCTCACTTACTTGTCCCATTCCCTAGACTGAGGAAATTAGTGACCTCTGGGCTAGGCCTAAATTTAAGAGGGCCCTGGGAGAAGTGGCTGCAAGTTGTTCCCCAAACTTAGGTCTCGGTCTCAGCCACACACAGTGCTGCTTTCAAATAAGCCAGTCTAGTGTTCTAGGTTCCTGGGGGAAATTTTTGACGACAGCATCAACAGTGTCCTTGATTTTGGTATGTATTAGCAGAAAGTGCTGGATGACTTCTGACCCTTTGGGATGCCTAGGAAAGCCACGTCTCCTTGGCCATTGACCTTTGTGCCCATGTTCATCTTTTGTCATGACTGTCAGTTAATGACAGTCCTGCCAGGCCAGCAGGAACAGAAGGGATGGAGAGGCAGGTGGAATGACTAAGACAGACAAGCAAACACTGAAGAATGAAAGGGAAGAAGGGCCCTGGGAGGGTGGGTGAGCCTCAGAGCCCATATTGCTGTGGCCCGTCCTGGCTGTGATCAGCTGTCATTTCCTCTTCGTATATGACACTGTGGAACATATTAAAATTTCTCTGGGATGGTATGTTTGGAATTCCTCTGATGCCCCACCTCACCAACTTACCCGGACAATAAAAGCGAGGTTATAAGCCATTGAACAGCTGGCTGGCTATATATTTCCCCTCTTTCTTTCCCATAATCTAATACAGAAAAGAATCCTGTTAGACTGGCAGTGCCATGTCTGGGTACTTGTTTTCTCCACCACGTCCTTCCTCTTGCACACCGCGGAATCTTCCTGGGTGGCAAGTGGCGTCTTTTCTTTTGTTCACTGCTGCTCTCGGTCCGCCCCCTTTTCCCTATGCCTGATCTCCTTCCATTGTGAGCTGCCTTTGCTCAGTCTGTTTTCCAGACAGCCTGGGTCCTGTTCCACTGGGGAGAACAGCCCATGAGGTCTTCTCATCTCCATAGTATTCCCAGGATGTCATTCTTGGCACAGGTTCTGCTGGTCCGATAGGATATGGGGGCTTTTTGTAGCCCTGAGCCTGAACCCACTCACAGAGAGGAGCAGCCACGTGGCTCGCCAAGAGTGGGGCTGGAGTGACCCGGGTTGGCAGAGACAAGCATACCATCACAGTGACCCGGACATCTCTGGCTAAGGCCTGGGGGTGGGAGTGCTATGGGAATGCCTGGATGCACTTCGGCCCACATTAAGAGAAATGTGGTTATTCTGTTTCAGACTGAGAGACAAGTGACTTGGAACAAAGATCTTTTGGGCCCTGCCCTGTCCCGCTCCTGGGTTCCTCAAGTTTCTCTCCTGTCTCTCCTCCCCAGACAGAAAGAAGGACAAACAGGACTTTCAGTTTGGCCAGCACAGGCTTGATGCCTTGTCAAACCCACAGCCCAAGTGGGAGAGCTGAGAAATCCCTCCTGAGTTGCCTGCACTGAAAATGTGAGGGAACTGAGGTGAGAAAGGAACTCTTCCTGCGTTCCTTCGTTCGTTCCTTCCCTCCCTCCACTCCTCCCTCCTTCCCTCCTTCACTCTCTTCTTTCACCTCGTCTCTCACACTTCCCCTCTTTCTTTCTTTCCTTTCTCTTTTCCTCGGAAGAGCAGTTTGATTCAAGAGTTTCAAGCAGAAGGTACTGGGCTTTTCAGTTAGAGATTCCCATTTAAGACCTCCATTGTGCAACACACCAAAATGATGCTGCTAATGTGTGTGGAAGCAACAGGTAAAGAGAAATCCACAGGGCGGTTTCCTATCCTTTTTCATTTCCTGGGAGCTTCAGATAACGTTTCCCAATTAACTAAAAATTCATTGAAAGAATCAATGGGAAAAAACTAACATATTTGAATTAAAATGAGCCTTCTCCTGTTAGCTTGACAAGAAGAGAGAGGGAGGGAGGGAGGGAGAGAGAGAGAGAGAGAGAGAGAGAGAGAGAGAGAGAGAGAGAGAGAGAGAGAGAGAGAGAGAGAGAGAACCAACCATCTATCCTTCACTGCTAGTTCTTGGGTTTAATATGAATTATTCCATACAAGTCCCTAGGCTAGATGATCTATTTAAAGAAGCCTGGCAGCATGAAGAGAGAGGGTAAAAATACAACCACTCTTTTGTCCCATCAAAGGTTTTCTTTGGGAGGACATTAAGAGCATTTTTGTTTTCTTGTCTGCCCCTGCCAGTGGCAGCATTCCAGCTGGTAGTACCCACTCCTCACCCATCAGGTCAACAACCATGAACTTTTCTGATTCTAAGAGAAATCAAAGGCTGAGGAATTCTTTAGAAAGTCCCATGTGTGGGCAATATGCAGGGAAGGCTGGGGCTGGAATGAGTGCTTGCTGGCTAGGCTATACAGGTTGTCTGGTGACATTCACCCCCACCCCCCCACAAACACACGTTTTCAGTCTTTGAGGAAGATTGTGCCATTATGCCTGTGGCATTGTCAAAGCTGCCTCCCACATCTCTGGCAATACTTTGCTTGGTGCCATTCACTTGGTCTTCTTCATCAGAGTCTCTAGGAGCCTAGTACTTAGGTGTATATTACTAAGTGTCCCATTCCCCGGAGCATTTTTAGCTGCTAGAACCTAGTAGCCTAGAAGTTTACAATCTGGAACAATCACTTTCCTGTTAGAAGGAGTGCTGACTCAGAATATTCAAAGAATGGGTTGTTCAGTTGGCCAGGAGTCCTGAGTACTTACAATCAGGACTTCATCCAATTGAGGCCCATTTCATCCTCGTGTCAAAAATCTGGACACGAGTGCTGACTGGTAGCATGGTATAAGATTTGCTTTTTTCCACAAAAGCTAAGGCTTATTCAGACAATTTGCTCTATTCCAAGGACTGGCTCTCTCCCAACTTTTTCTTTTAAGCCATGATCCAATCGATTGCAGTGTCCCTTAAAAATGAGAGGGCAACAGGTTAAGACCAACAGTGGACCAACTGTCAGAAAACACTAAGGAGAGACCCTGCTTTAGCCAGTAACCCTACAATAGGTCTGAAACCTGGAATCTCTTTCAGTCCTTTCATTCATGGGTAATAAAAATAAGATGCAACAAAAGAAAAGTACAAAAGATTGTTTTTGATGTTAAAATTGGCCACTGCCCTTTCAGATTTTTTCAAATAGCTCAGTTTCAGAAAGGGAAAGTTTCATTTCTCCCACATGGCCAGAAATGGGTTTGAAATTGCCTTCCTTCCTTATTTTAAAAGTGATCAAGCCCTCATGTTAAAAAAATTGAAAAGGCTATGGCAGATTTGGGACATCCAGAATCATTTTCCCCTTTTCTTCTGTTACTGTTGAGGAGTCTACTCTGCATTTTGTTGTTTCTTTTAGTTTGTTTCTTTGTAAGGCAGGATATCATGTAGCCCAGGATGGTCTACAACTCAATATGTAGCTGAGGATGATTTCAACTTCTCATCCTCCTGACCCCACCTCCTGAGGGCTGGGATACCAGACATGTGCCACCATGCCCAGTTTATATTGTCCACAGGACTTTATATACACTTCTGATTGAACTACATACCCAGACCACCCCCACTCCGCTTATTCTTATTCCTTGTGGATGAAAGTATAGAACAGAACTCAGAGCTCCGGGCCACTGGTGATTTGTGGCATCATAGAAAGGCTACCGTTGAGCATTTTTTGACAGCTCATCACCATATCAGTCACACTTCATAGTCTGGTGTCTAGATTTGCAGAAATAATCCAAACCCCATGAGAAAATGATTTCAAAAGAAGAGTGCTTCCAATTTGTGTGAAATTTATAGTCTAGAAGTCAATTAGTTACATCAACTGCTAAGAACTCCAAATTAGTCTCTTCATGGAAACTATAGAAGTTTACAAATGCCTAGGACAGGATCCCACAACCATATTCAATGGTCAATTGCTTTAAACTCAAGTCTCAGCCCAGGACTTCAGGATTGTTCTTCCCTTAGGACAGAGGTTCCCTTACCAAACAGAGGGGCTTATTTTTGATCCCAAAGATCTTATTAATTCACAGCTTCAGGGTGACTTTGCAGACCCAACCTCCTCTCCTTTCCTCTCCTGGATCATTCACATGGCCCATTAGGCATTTACTAGCAGAGGCTGCAGCACAGTGTGGGACCACAGGTCATTCCAAGAAAGGAAATGGCAGGTAGAATTCAGTCTATATCATCACCATCATCACATGGAAAAAGTGTAATTCTAGTGTGTGTGACTACCTTTGACTGTCCTCTTCTCCTGATAGAGATTCAGTGTTGGGTGACACTGAATCAAAACAGCACGCATTTTAAGAGAATGTTAAGAAAGATAGAAACTGGTCAACTATACTCACCAAGTGCTTCTTGTTATTAACAGGATATAAGCTTGGTGTACTGGTACACACCTATAATCTTAGCAGTGTGGGTGCTGGGTAAGGAGGCTCATCCAAGAATTCAATGTTGGCTTAGTCTACATAATGAATTTCAGGCTATCTGGGGCTACATATCAAGACACTGTCTAAAAAAAAAGAAAACAAAAACAAATAAAAACCAAGCTATTAATAATTTATGATCTACATTTAGAAATAATAAGCACCAAATCAATTGGATATTGGAGGCTATTTTTACTTCAGGCCACCCAAATGGCCTCATGGAAGAGAGTATTCTAATAGCTTGGCCTCCTGTTAGCTGAGGCACTTCATTAGAATGTTCTTGGAATCTTGAGTGATCATTAGCTCCTTGAAGAAGAAAGGAAGTCTTGCTGTAAGATTTCTTGGGGGAGTATCTAGTCCCAGAGCAGTGCTATACAGTCTGAGAAGCTTGGGAAGAGAAAGATATGATTGCAAGCGGGCAAAGCTGTGAACTGCTACAACCAACTGCTTTATTTTATATAGAAGGAAACTGATTCCTAGAGAAAACAAATGGCTTGATAAAGCTCTCATAGTCAATCGTGGGAAGGCATGATACAACTTAAGAATCATCAGATCAGCGTCCTTCTACTGGATCAGACAAAAGCAAAATGTTCTGTAGGTTTCAGAATGCAATGAAATAGTTACTCATTATTTCGGACAAGTGAATGCGGAGATACAGAACACTAATAACATGGGTTAGCAAAGGTCTGGGGGAAGGAAGCATGGTGTTTCACGTAAGTGGGAGACTGGATAACAATGAAAGCTTTCTTTCCTCATAAATGTTTCAAAGGTCAGGAGTTTTAGTTACAGTCAAGCTCAAGGTCAAGTCCTTCCACTGTAGTTCCTGCCCAGGCAGTGAAACTATTGAAGTCAAAGACACATTCATACATATGCGTGCACGAGCGTGTGTGTGGACACACACACACACACTCGCACACACGCTCACACACACATGCACGCGCACACACACACACGCACACACGCATGCACGCACACGCACGCACACACGCACACACACATGCACGCACACACGTATGCACACACACACGCATGCACGCACGCAGGCACACACACACACGCACACATAGGTAGGGCCCACTTGACAGTTGACTCATTGCTGTTCTCCACCACGTTATATATCTGTTCTCAGGCCTTTGTTTGAGCACCCTCTCTACAGGAGTTATGATATATCGCTTCTTCCCCTGGCTCTATTCGTCCTCCACTTTTGCTTTCCCTTCCCTCTTCTTCTCCCATCACTTCCTCACCTTACACACTTACCTGCTACTGTGGAGTTCTACCACAGATGGATAGTCACACGGTGGGAAGAACACAGTGGCCCCTTATAGAATGGAAGACTATTACTTAACTGCAAGGATATTTTCTTCTTTCACCTAAGATACCACTATGGAGGTGGCCACTGTCTCCTACTATAGAACAGACACCCTGAGATGAAGGGTGCACGAGTCACACTCTTCCCCAGTTGACCTTATGGTGGTAACCTTTAAGATCCCCGGGGACTTTGCATCTTTTCCATCAAGTATCACTGCTTCAGGGTCAGCCTAGGCTTGGCTTCTTGACTGCTACTCATGTGCTGCCAGACAGAAATAATCTTAAATCAGTCGCTGAGTGCAGGGGATGCTTCATACAATCCAACATGCTGTTTACAGTTTATAAATTAAGCGTCTTGGGAAGAGGCATCTGAGTTATTTTCCAGGGCATCTTATTGACTAGATCCCATTGGAATTCTTTGCGTTCCCGGGAGGTGTCTACTTAGCACTTTGCACTCTGAATAAGCAGCAGAGTTTCTTGTTTTTCCAATCCTTGTATGAAGCATTATCTAGTAGCAAGTTATCTTCCATCCTTACAGCTTTAATTCCCCTCTATTTTTATAATGTCTATGCTTCTGTGTACTGCAATCTTTGCCTTATTTCTGACTCAGAAATTTTTTAATTACAACAAATATCTTGGAGTAGTGTTGCACACCTTTAATCCCAGCACTCGGGCGGCAGATGCAGGTGGATCTCTGTGAGCTCAGTTCCAGCCTGACCTACAGAAAGAGTTCCAAGACACACAGAGACAGGTGGATCTCTGTGAATTCAAGACCAGCATGGTCTACAGAGCAAGTTCCAGGACAACCAGGGCTACATATAGAGAGCCAGTCTCAAAAACAAATCAAGAATATAATAAATAATAAATGTTTCTGTGTGATACAGTGAGTCCATTTCAAAGTCATCATATTTTATTTGCTTCACTTAATCTTCTCAGAGATGATACTGTGCATGGTGGATATAAATGAGCAGTAAATAAGATGTATTAATGGGGTTCCAAAATTAAACAGGAAACCAACAGGCCAATACTCTTTACTTAAAATGCAGTGAACCTATTTTTCCTCTGGCCTTTATTGTTTTTACACGTTTCTTCATGTTGGGCTTTTAACCCTGGGCCTTAGCATGTGAGCCACACCCCTGACCCCTGATTCTTACCTTTTATCTGCTAGTGTAAAAGGAAGCCCATAGTAGTTGCTCAGTGAATGAGGCCCATAGTAGGAGTGCTCAGTGAATCAATGTGTATGCTGAATAAATAAAAGTTTGTTGAAAGAAACCAGGGAAAGAACACCTGCCTATTTCAGTACTGAAAACAGCTCGGGAGAAACATAGATATGGAAACACTGCCCTCCTTTGCCTCAGAAGTAGGGCAAAAACAAGGCCATTCTTGGCACATGACACTTGTCTTAGCCTGTTGCTGGAATCACTTGTGCAAAGCCAGTGCCTTACTTTCTGCCAGGCAGAAGGTCAGACCAAGAGTGAGCTGATCTGTGGGCACAGCACCGCCTCTCACCCAGGGGACCGTGCTATTATTTCAATGAGGATGACAGGTGGGGGAAATCTGGGCACCAGTTGTTCTTTTCCACTGGTAGCGTTTGGAAGGTAGCTCCAAAGTCGGGCACGCTGGCCTACGTGCTTCTCCTGCCGCAAAGGCTCTGCACTAGAGCCATGAGAACATGGGCTCTGTCTTGGAGCCAAATTCAGGTCTCGGACACTGTACCAAAGCACATAGCACAAAGAGGACATAGGACTCCTGAGTTCTGTTGTTCAATTCATCAGGGCCTGGCTGGCAGAGGTCCTAAATCCTGAAAATCCCCATTTGAGTGTGTTGCACATGGCTTAAAATAAAAAAGACAAATGAATTAATTTAGTTTCAAGAAAATGCAAGAAGGTCGCATAAAGCCGAGCTATCCTAGACTGGCAGAAAGCAAGGAATCGTGTGGCGGTGCGAATTTTCTTAATTCCTCACGCTCCTCTTTGTAAGTCCCTTCCCACACTGCAGATTCTGGTCTGTGTACCACACGGGTTGACTCAGTAGTTCTCTGTTCTTGAGCCTTATTTTCATAAACTCATCCTCAGCACAGCAGTGCTGGCGCCTGCAATTTACATAGTTCAAGCAAAAACAAAGTGTTGTGGTACAGGCCTGCAATTCCAGGATGCCTTGGGATCCCAAGAGGTCTACAAGGTGAGAGTCTGTATCAAAACAAACAAAAAATAAGCAAACAATTGTACAGATGGAAAGACGACACAGTGCTTTGAGAGCACTTGTTCTTGCAGAGGACCTGGGTTCCATTATCAGCACCCACATTGTGGCTCTCAATCGTAAACAGCTTCAGTTCAAAGGCATTTGATGATATCTTCTGGTCTCCTGCAACACCAGATATGCATTTAATGCACATGTACACATGTAGGCAAAACACTCATATTCATAAAATAAACTACAAATAAATAAATCTAAAACACTACTACCAATAATAATAATATAATATTAATGATAATAAAATAATAATAAGCAGTCAGGCGGTGGTGGCACACGCCTTTAATCCCAGCACTCAGGAGGCAGAGGCAGGCGGATCTCTGTAAGTTCGAGGCCAGGCTGGTCCGACAGCCTCCAAAACAATACAGAGAAACCCTGTCTCATAAAACCAATGATAATAATAATAATAATAATAATAATAAGCTAAATCCCAGTGTTCTGCTGTAAAGATCTCACCTTTGTGGTTTGAAGGTTTGATGAATTCTTTGTTATTATCATTGCTTGCATTGTTATTTCGGTGTTAATAGAAAAATTGAACAAAAATGTCCTGACATGTGTAAATGCACTGAAAGCCAATATCGTAAAACTAGAAGTAAAGCAGCACTTCCTTGGGTGTTTTTTCTGTCATTTTTATTTTTTTCTATTTTTTTATTTTGTGTGCATGGGTATTTTGCCTGCATGCATGTCTGGGCACCACTGAGACTGGAGTTCCAGAAGGTTGTGAGTCCCCCCCACCCCGTATGGAACCTGGTTCCTCTGGAATAGCAGCCAGTGTTCCTAAACACTTGGCCATCTCTGCAGTCCTCTTTTGTCCTTTATAACTACTTTGGAGTCCAGTTTCTCAGCCCTGGGCTGAGGATACATGCTTCAGGCAGTAGAGTATGTGCTGCCCTATCATGAGGCCCTCAGTGAATGGAGACCCCCAGCACCCTCACAAAGCTCATGTCTGTACCCCAGCACAGGTGCTTCCCTGATGTTCAGCACCGAGATGGCAGGAACACACGTCCCTAACTCAGAGGCTAGCTCCAACTGATAACCTCCCTCAAATGAAAAAAAATGCTTTCTCCAAAGGAGTCTCACTGCGGGTATACAAACCACACTTAAATGGCAAGCTCCAGCAGTCGATGGCCAATGCAGAATGAGCTCAATGGCATTTTAGAAGTGTGTTGTATCTGAGCTTTTGGTTTTGTTTTGTTTGCTTGAGCATTATGATTCCCAGCTCTGTGTCGTCGTGAAATAGCTCTGTGTGTAAATGTGTGTGTTTCCTCATCTATATGTGTTTCTTGGGTTTTCTCTTTGGCTCCTTTCCCCATTTGTATGTTTTGTCCTATTCTGGTTGGTTTGTTTCTATTTTGCCATTGGTTTTTAGACGCTTGTTTGTTTGCTAACGAGAGCAAGAAAGGGCATGGTTTTGTGTGGGTGGGAAGGTGGCCAAGATCTGGTTGGAGTTGGAGGAGAAGAGACTGTGATCACAATATGTTGTATGAAAAATCTATTTTCAGTAATAGAAAAAAGTTCTTCTGCAACCTTGGCCCCTTGAGATATTTGGGTGCTTAAAGTTGATCTACTTTAAGGAGAGGTCGCCATGTGCATGTCCATAAAGGAAAGTGGTGCAAGGCTATCTGAGAAAGGCTCTTCCCGTCTTTGGGATTGTCTTCTGTATGGCAAAATGGTGGTATCCAAATTTATTGCTATTCAATGCTGGCATTTTAGAACGGGGGGAACAGTGTATGCTATTGCTGTCAATTCTCCTATCCTACAGGTGAGGAAATCGACTGGAAGAATGTAAGTGAGCTGTGCCAGGTGCCACTGCTGATTACTGGTTGTGCCAAGACTTAGTCCAGGTGGTTCCTCTCATTATTGGTCCCTGCCCTTCCTGCAATTTATAGAACTTCCCAGAGACATGGGCTCTTAGCCCTTGCTATTGCCAGGGATGCTCTGTTCTGAGATGGCCCCATTGCCCTATTCCACTCAGAATGCCCCACCCCACACTTGTAAGCTGTCTAATTGCAGCTAAGTGAGTCTGAGGCCACACTGTATTGACTTCTACCACCTTGAACTTCTTATCTTGATCACATCAACACTTTACCCTGCTTATTCCGACTCTTCCTGAATAAGAAGTTAAAGAAATACTTGCACTGTGAACAAAACCATCAAACTTTGATCTAGAGTACCTTTGAAAGTGTTTCTGAAGTGTTAGCTACTCCATTCCTTTGGTTTGGTATGTACGGTCAAGTTCTCCTGATTTCCCCACATGTTTGAAAATACTTTTGCTATTCTGTGTCTTCTGGCATAATGAAAAGCATCAGTGAGGTAATTTTAGTAGATTGCTGAACTCCAATCCTTTGACCAGGAGGTATGGTTAAAAGAACAAAGTAGATTTTAGGGAAATCAGTCCAACATAATTTCACTTTAATGGGAAGTCTCTGCTCCAATGGCCACTTCTTTCAAATTATCCTGTGGGCTTCAGCTACAAAGGTTGTGCAGAAATGTGTGACTCTATTGGGAACTGTACATGCACTGCGTTAGCCATGCTGGAGGCCAGTGATTATAATGTGGGTTTCAGATGCACTTGGCCACTGATACTGGGTGGCAAGGACTGAAAACAAAAACAGGATGAGCCCAGAGCCCAGCAGTGGAAAATGAGGTGGGTGGGTATAGAATGGAAAATGTACTCCCTCGGGCCATGGCCTGTGTTCATTAGCACTGACCTTCCTCCCCTCTCACCCTGTAAGCTGATGTTGATAGCAAAGCTTTGAGAGAATCTCAATAAACCCTCCTGCCTTACCAACCAAGGACAAAGAGGAGACCACACAATTTAGTTATGCTGTGCCCAGAACCATGTATTTTTAATCTCAACCATGGGCTCAAACTATTCTTGCTCTTAGGCACATAGACTCAAGCAATTAACGTTAACATATGCTTCCACTCAAACATCATGTCCATTTCCAAATGGTCACAAATATGTAGCATAAACACTAAGGACATGAAATGAATGACAGTATAAGCTAAAAGGCTCCAGAATCCGGCACTGTTCACCCCAAATGACATGGAAATGTTGGACTACATATCTTTTGTGTTGCACCCATATTTCTGGGGAAAGTAATTTCTGCTTTCATTCTAGCTGTTCAGCAGATACTGTGGTGATCCGTTGCTTGTGAAAGGATTGAGGCAAAACTCCAGCATACAAAGGACAATGACAACCAGAAAACGACAGCCCCATTCGGCCCTGGCCTTGAAAGGAACTGGATCCTAGGAGGTGCCAGCATTTCCAATCTATTGTCCTCTGTCTCCCTCTGCTGTTCTTCTGGAGAAGTTTCCCCTCACGACAATGAGAAATCATGTACTAGCTGCCTCCATTTCTATGCTCTCCCTGCTGGCCATAATGGGAGATACAGACAGCAAAACAGACAGCTCGTTCCTGATGGACTCTCAACGCTGCATGAGGCACCATTATGTTGATTCTATCAGTCACCCATTGTACAAGTGTAGCTCAAAGGTAAGATGAAGGTCACTCCCAAATCTTTGAGAGGATACCCTTCTCCCTCTTTTACAGAAGAGAAGCCATATTTACCTGTCAGGAGATGGAGAACTGTGACCAGAGCCCAAACTGGAGCTTTGTGACTGACCTGCAAAATGCCTAAGGGGATCTTTCTTTACAGTTTTCCCAGTATGATTTGCATTTCTGTGTCTGTAATGGCTCATTCTGATGTTGGGATGTCTTGTGTCCCTGACTGGAGATTTATGAGCAATAACATTCCTTTTCAATACACAAAACAGGTACTGGGAATAGGGCTCAGTGAGTGAATTTAGGGCCTCAGTTTGAACCCCCAGCAGTCATGTAAAATCGCCTGGCATGGTAGTACACATCTCTAATCCCAAGGCTGAGGAAGCAGAGACAGGGGAACCAGTGGGGCATGCTGGGTAGTCAATCTATCCCAATAAAGGAGCTTCATTTTTAGTAAGAGACTCTGTCGTTAAAAGTGAGGGAGCAATTGAGGACCAAAGCCTCCATCAACCTCTGACCACCACCATCACCTTCATACACATGCACACATGTGCGGAAATGGGTGCACACACACATACACACACATACACACACACACACACACACACACACACACACACACACACACACACACACGGAAGAAAGAAAAATGGAGCCTCTAAGTTACCATAATTTTTTTCTACCTGTATCAACAACAAAAAGAAGGGGAAGATGTTGAATATGATTTAACAGTGGAACACATTCTTGGAGGCTGTTCAAACAGTTTTCTGAACTACCCCAGAACCAGCTGTGTGGTCTAAACCTTCCTCCATGCGTCACATTTATGCTAAAATGACTAGAGAACTAAGGATGACAATTCCATTGTTTATCGTTTTATCTTGCTTGGGAGTTTTTTCTTATTGGCCGTGGGTAGAGTGCTTCTTGCACAGGTCATCTATGTCTCAGTGCTGAGAAGAGGTGTACAAAGTAATAACATGCTAAAGACCACCAAGAGTGGCTGCCACACAGACCACCCAGAAGGGAGGCACAATGTAGGATGAAATGGATTCCAAATGAGAGTCTTCATGACTATCATTGCTCCAGTCACATGCACTAAATGTGTCCACACTTAGTAAATAAGACTTTGTTTAGCTCATCCTCAAAGGATTTTCACTTTAGTCTGGACACTGAAACAACAACAACACCAAATCCCATTGCAAACTCATATGTTAAGTATTTTTAAAATTACCCATGTAATTAAGGATTTTCAAAATAATATAAACCACTAGAATTAAGGTCATAAAAATCAGTCTCTCCACCCTCCATTTCAAAACATGTCTGGTTTTACATTTTCCATAACTTATGTGATTGTAGCCCAAGGAGGATTCCTTAGTTTGGTTTGGGGGGAATCAAAATCTTAGTTAAATCAATTTTGCCATTGTATTAATAAGTCCTAGGACTGTAGGCAAAGAAATAGACATTTTTCCGCTTAAGAAACTATCCTGGATCTTATTTATATTTGAAGAACAAAACTGAATAGAAACAGACAACAAACATGAAGTTTGCTAAAATTCTCTCTTGGAAATGGAGAGCAGGAGCTGGTGGAGCTGGAGGGGCTTAGGGGGACACACTTGCGTCTGCCGGGTTCATTTCAGCACCACAGAAGCACAAACACTAAAACAAACTGTGAGAAAAAGATAAGAGAAACATTTTATAATCATGATTGCTCAGAAATTGCTTCAGAATAGACAGCACTGAGATTTGATGTTTGTTAGTTCATGGGAGATTTCTTCCTTTGTCAAGCTGTCCTTTATAATCATGCTTCTTTAAAAAAGGGAGAGAGAAAGAGTTTAAACTTAAGAAAGTGTCATTGTAATGAAAGGAAGGGTTATAGAAAATAGTAGCATCTATAAAAAGTTGAAAGTGGGCTGGGGGTGGAATTCAATGGTAGGGCACTTGCCTAGCATGTGTGAGGTCCTAGGTTTCATCCCCAGAACTGAAAGAAAAATCGAAAATAATCTAGAAATATTGGATAAAATGATGGGATACTGTTTTAGCATATTAACCTAAGAAGAAAAGGGTCAAGGAAGAAATGTCATTAACTCAAACTCTCAGAATTTGAGCAGGACTCTTAGAAACAACTTTTAGTTGATCATTGTTCACCTTTGCTTCTCCCAGAATGCCACAGTGAATAACAGTGCAGAACTGTGATAATAGAAGAAATGCTTGTCATTTAATGGGGACAATCTGTTTTCAAACATCCTAAATGACTCCAAACACAGCAATGATTTTATGTAAATGCTGCTTGTAATTATTAACCTTCCTTCCTTGGCCACAAAAATATGCCTGGCAGAATTTCAGCTACCAGACCCTTTCTGGATTAATTTTTCTTTATGTATTCAGGAAGAAAATGATTTTCATTTGGAAATATTCTACAGTTCTTAACATTTACAGACTCAGCCTGATATTCCCTCTAATGAGTCTCATCTGATGGAGTAGTTTTCCTTCAGAGGATAAACATTTAGCCTATCTCTGGAAAGGATAGTATATCTCTGGGCAGACTTTATATCTCTACAAATACCTTTAAGGTCATTATTTTCTGGACACATGACCACGCTTTGCCTACCAGTTAATGCTCTTGACTTAGATAAACACAGTGTGTCTGGTCTCCAGAATACAAATGAAATTTACATGTGGTCCAAGGAAAGAAGGAAAGGACGGAGCTAAATCTAATACCTAACCTGTGCTGGTCACACACACACACACACACACACACACACACACACACAAACTCACACTCCAGGCCTAGCTGCCCGTAGTAATGATTCATCCCCCGCATTTTTCTTTCTAGAAAAAAGTAATAGATAAAGCTGTTCTGGACACCTGTAGTGTGACTATGTCCACCATGGCCCTGAACTTGCACTTGGGCAGTTTTAGGTCACCTCACCCTTATCCTTGCAATTCAGGAAAGAACTAAGACAGACTCAGGCAGAAATGACTGAACTGCTAAGAAAGACAGAGTGGCCACAGTTTAAATTATACCTGGTGACTTCGTTAGTAATGGTATCTCATTGGATCCAAAAGGGCCTGGGAGTGGCAAGTTCATTTCCACTCTTCCCAAGAAATCACATTTCCCTGTAATTCTGTGTAAAGGGCATAAAGAAAACAAGCTGAAGTTCTGCAGCTAGAATATAAACGGGCTGTCTGGACACCAAGGCACCGCAGGCTTCAAGGAAGCAAGACTTAATTGCTTTAGATCCAATTGTAGATTCAGAGCTTTCCAAATGGGTGTTTTCAGGAAAGCCAAATCATTGCTTTGTGCCTCAGTTTCCTTCTCTGCAAAAGGAGCTGTTTGTCCAAGGGCATGGACATGGATGGCCACCGTGATAATATTTGTAAAGCAGCTAGCATAGTGCCTGCCATTTAATACATTTAATAAATGCTATTATGATCCTGATGATGAAGTTGTAAGCTAGACAGATGTTTCAGCCCTTTTCTATTTCCTTCACTACTAAGACTTCAATAAAGCTAGTGAACCTCCCATTGGTTCTGATGGATGTGGGAGGGGTAGGGAAGAGCAGAAGAGCAGAGTGAATGTAAGCCTCTGTGCTGGGTGCTAAGAGTGAGGATAAAACAGGAGCAGACTACTGGCTGGCTGTCTTCACCAGGTGAGTGGAGGTGAGTTCTGACTCCTGACGAGGCTTGGCTTTTCAGGAACCTAGGTTGGCAACTTGAACTGGCTCCACTGGTGTTTGAAGGCCAAGTTGTTGGGAAGTAGGACATGGTGGTCCAAAGTAAGGGAATAGGAACTGCTTCTAAGGGTGGGGTAAACAGCAACTACTATGGGCAAGATGAGACAACAGGTTAACAGGAAACAAGGAGGTGAGTTGAGGAGACAAGGCTTAAAAATTCCAAAAGAGAAGGTTTCTTGTGTCAAGGACTGAACTGCAGGATTGGGAAAGAGCTTTTAGAATCCACAAGCCATCTTCTACCCAAGAAGCTCATAGAAACAAATATGGGAGTTAGGGAAATAGAGTTTCGGACGTAATTGATCACTTGCAGGGGTGAGGTTTGATTTTTAAAATAAAAACAAATTTATACTGATGTCTACTGTGTGCAGCCATCATGAAAGTTGCTAGAGACGGAAATAAAATGGGAAGAAGACAAATGTTTACCCTCCATAATGCTTCAGCAGGATATAGGAAAGGGAAGTGTTCTGTATGCAAATGTCTCTTCACATCTGTTTGCTTTGTGGCTTGTGTGACAGTAACAGACAGCAGTTGGAGTGAGCTCCCATGCCAGTCCTTAAGTCTCACCACCCCTATGCTACTTTGTTCTCCCGGTTGTCATTTTGTTGTTGATCTCAGCCTGGCACAGACCCTTTGAATATTGACCTGGCTTCCTAGAGATGAGCTGAGCAGTCCTGTCATGATGTTGGTGATGAGGGAATGTGTGGGGAAGTGGCATGGATGGACCTTGTTTCTGATATGTATAGAGAGATCACCTGGGAGAAAAACTCTGCTCAAAGTCATGGAACATATTTAGAAGATTAAAATAGTAGAAATGAATGTTTCTGTGTATGTTCAGTTCCCATTATAAAGGTGGCTCTGTCCTCCCTCCCTCCCTTCCTCCCTCCTTCACTCCCTCCCTCCTTCTCTTGTGAGTGTGTGTGTGTGTGTGTGTGTGTGTGTGTGTGTGTGTGTGTATGTATGTGTATGTGTTGAGACTATCAAAATTCGTTCATTGTCTCAGAGTTTGGAGGAAGAGGTCAAGATATAGGAAGGATTTCGTTAGACAGAACCAAGTGAAAATTACATTCCTGGGAGAGTCAAGACATGCACAAAGGCAGTAGTTAAACTTAACTTTCACTGGAGCAGGGAAAAGATGAGTAGAACAGCACAGCTCTAAGACTAGAAGCAATTGACACCTGGGGCAGTCATGGTAGGTGCTGACTGTGCATATCTGTTCACTTTTCTTGGGAAGAAACTACGTGAGAAACAGGGGCCAGGCCAACTGGAGGTGGACCCAGGTCCTTCCATTCTAGAAATCTTGTCCTTCACTGTGGACCAGGCATGGAACTTGATATGCTGAAAACTTTTAGTGAAATAACAATTAAGTTAACTTATCTTCAAGTTACCCTGTATTCCAGACTTGGTTATTTTACGGGCAGCTAACATCCTGATCAATTAGGGTTATCTTTGACATAGCATGTATGTCTTATTGGGATTAGCCCATGCTGCCTTTGACCCTTCTGAATAATTATCATATCATTATTATTCCTGTCGGCACAGGTTTGTTTTATTCACATGGATCTATCTCTAAAGACTTCATTTTGGAAAGTGGCTGAATGATTGCTTCAATATCCAGTAGATATCTGGATTAAGGGGTCAGCAAATTTTACACTGTTCCAATTTGTGAAGCAGCCTTTCCGATGTACTTGTAGATACAGGGAGAAGGAACTGGGGAAGTTCTCAGACTCTCTTCTTAGGTGGGGGTAGACACCAGACATGGGCAGGTGTTGCTTATATATTTATCTATGGCTCAATCCTGTCAAACCTGTTTGGGATGATGTTTACCTTGCCTATCAGTTTGAAGAACAGACAGAATAGCATTAAAGCTTTGATAGAATCAAAACATCTTACAGAAGCCATTTTCTCTCTGCCTTTGTGACCTTGCAAAGAAAATAATGTTAGACCAGTCCAACTTATTCCTCCCTCAGTCCTGCTAGGTTCTTCTGCTCATGTGTGTGAATTGTTGAAATTTCTCCCAGTGTTTCCTTAGACAATGATGTTAATAATCCTTAACTATCAGGAGTTATCTTTGCCTGATTTTGGAAAGATGTGCCAGCCATTAATTATCCTTTTACCCTTGGGTGTTTAATTTTGCCCTATAGGATGATGTCAGAGATCATCTCTAGTGAGTCTTTAATATTAACTGCTAATTACTAAAATACTATAAGGTCATATATCACCAGGAATCAAGCTTCTTCATCCCACCTCACTCATGCCTTTGACCCCTAGGATTCCAGAATCTTTGAATGATGTGAGCTGCCCTTTATCTTTGTGGGGGCGAACTCCAACCTTGACACACATTCAAAGCATCTTTACTTTTGCTTTAACTCAAACTTTTTTGGGAAAACACAGCAAAAAAAGTCCACCTACCCAAACTAGCCATGGCAAGAAGAATTATTGCTTATCATTTTAACTCCTTGAATATACACTTGATGGCTTTGACCTGAGCATACCAGACATGTTTGGGAATCTCTTCCTTATGCTCAGTGTGCTCAGGAATATGTCAGCATCTAAAGTGCTTTCCAGTGTGAATACACTTATGATTTCTCAGGAAACCTCCAGGTTTCCTTTGCTTGGGAAGGGTATTCCTTTGGAAAATTCTCCTTGTGTTCCTTACCTCTACTATTTAAAAAAAACAAAATTAAAGAAGACTTTTGCCCATCTCCTTAAGATTTATGCAAAATGTTGAGTATGTACATTTTTTCTGAGGATAATTTTGATACTTTTTAAGTCCTTTATCTTTTTATTTTTAGATTTATTAATTTTTATTTTGTGTGTGTGTGTGTGTGTGTGTATGTGCCTGCTTATCTGTACATGGATCACATAGGTGCGGGTGTCTGAGAAGACCAGGTGTGGGCCCTCCCTGGAACTGGAGTTCCAGGCTGCTGTGAACCATGTGATGTTTCTGGGAACAAGTCCAGGTCCTCGGCAAGACAGCAAGTGGTCTTAAGCACTAAATCATCTGTCCAGCCCCTTAATCAGAGTCTTAATAGAGTATTGCTATACAGAACACATAAGCTCTGACACAGCAGCCCAAATGTTTGGAAACGGAGAGGCTAAACTTGGTATAAATAACTCTAAGATGCTGGCATAAACTGTACAAATGGAAGGTGCCTCTTTAAGGTATAAGCACAGGTGTGTACTCTCAGACCCACAAATATACCCTGTCTCTGCTTCACTTTCTTCTTGTAAGTTCACCTAGAATTTTTTTCCAAAGCAACATTTAGTTTACTCCCTTTTCTTCTACAGAGACTACATTCCTTCTGTTTAGCTATTTCCCACTGGACCCCTATCCAATAACTCTCTGCTTGATCCTAGACTTCAATCGGACATGAATTTCTTCTCATTGTTGTTGGTAGACTTGCAACACATTTGGGCAGTGGTAGGTCTCCCTCCATCAGGAGAGACTCATTTTGTACTGAGGTGTTTATTTGGTTTTGGTTTTGGAGGCAAGGTGGTAACCCAAACTAGTTTTGAACACACTATGTCCTTGACAATGACCTTAAATTCCTGATCCTTCCGCCTCTACTAAGTGCTGAGATTATAGGTATGTGTCACCATCCATGTTTTATATGATACTAGAGATTGAACCCAGACTTGTGGGTGCACTAGGGAAGCAGTCTACTACCTGAAGTATATCACCAGACCTGTTCCCGGATCTTTTTATTCACACTATAGTGGTACATCTTGTTAACTGATTCCACGCTCTCGCTGCACTTCACAGTCCCCTAAAAAGTCTTGAAGATCATGAAAGCCTGGGTCCTTCTAAAGGAGTTCAATTCAAAATGGTTTCAGATGGGGAAGTGTTGAAAGGCTTCCTCCCAATCTCCAGGTGTACCCGGGATTGAACCTAGAGCCTTGGGCATGCTAAACAAGTCCTTTACCTCTGAGTCACAATGTCTTAAACACATATTTTAGGTTTTTCCAATAGGTTCTGATGTGTAACCAGAGACTGCAATCACTGGTCCAATCCAGCAGGAATCGGCAGGGAGTGTTGGGGTTTTTCAAAGGATACTGTGGTGACCGGAAGTTTTGACACTTGCACGGAGTAACCACCTCCCCTTATTTCTCCAGATGGTGCTCCTGGCCAGATGTGAGGGGCACTGCAGCCAGGCATCGCGCTCTGAGCCATTGGTGTCCTTCAGCACTGTCCTCAAGCAACCTTTCCGTTCCTCCTGTCATTGCTGTCGACCTCAGACCTCCAAGCTGAAGGCTTTGCGTCTGCGCTGCTCAGGGGGCATGCGACTCACTGCTACTTACCGGTACATCCTCTCCTGTCACTGCGAGGAATGCAGCTCTTGAGGCTTGCTGCTGAGTGGCTTTCTGGCTGGCACAACCACGGGAGCAATTCAACCATCCAGAGAAGTACTGGCAAGAAAAGAGTTAAGGCAGATAAAGATGGAGCGAGTCCCACAGGATTGTGCATATTCTAGTCCTAAAGACTCAATGTGCTTTCAAGAGAGAGCGACTCTGGGAACTCGGTTTCCATTCCGGTCTCCTATTGCTGAAAGAATTTCTTTTGGTTACTTTTCAGATTAAGACATTTCCCCTGTTGGCTCCGAATGTGGTTCGGGTTTCTGACAGCTCTGCATTAGTGGGAAAATGTGGGACCCTGTGCAAGAGTGTGTCAGGCTGTCCCTATTTGGTGCATATTAGGGAAAAACTTGCCCAATTCTTCTTAGGAGATCTTCAGCTGTTGCTTCACCTTGTTGTTTTGGTCTAAGATTTGTCTTTAGAGGTTCCCGGTTTCAAGTTCCTGGTGCCGGTTTCAAGTTCAGGACAGCAAGTCTATGGATTCGTTTAGTGAGGTTACTCACAGCTAGCAGATACTAAAATAATTAACACACGGGTTCTTTTATGTAACTGTGGAACTCCTGCAGCTACAGTTATTCATAAATGACTTGAGGGCTCTAAAGGTGGTATAAGGAATTTATAATCTAAAGACCTTTGCAGGTAAATGATGCTAAACTTTTGTGAGGAAGTAGACTTTCAAACACACACACACATACACACACACACACACACACACACACACACACACGGATACTGCACTGACTCTGGAGAAGGCATAAATTACCAGTGACATGGAGAATGCATCATACTCATAACTGAGCATTAGTCAAGCAAGTAGGAATCTATTTGTGGGTGTGCAATAGCTTCAGTCGTGTCTGGAGCATCGTTCTCTAACATCCACCTGTCTATGTGAGGCTTGTTGCCATAGTGGTGGCCTGGCTTACCTTCTGAAAATTTCATTCCAATGTATTTTTGGTCATTGAGGCTCAAAGTCTGAATTTCCCCATGTTTTGAAATAAAAATAGAGTACCTTCGAAATTTTGTCTGTATAAGTATTGTTATTTCTCCTTCCTCCTCTTCTGCCTCCCATTCCTCTCTTCTTTAATATCCTTCTGTGTTGTGGATATAAGATCCATGTAGCTTCTGTTTGGACATCTCCAAGGATATGGTAGAAGTAAGGACAACAAAAAGGAAATTGAGTTCCAGAATGTATGATGGGAACTTAAAAAATATATACTGTGGTGGGTGGCCTTGGCTGTGGGTTTTAAATTTTAGTACAAAATCTGTTGTGTTCTGGCTTCCTTGGTTACTATGGTGTGAAATAGAGATGACACATCCCTTTCAGTCTCTTCATTTTTCTAAGAAAAGATTAAGTATCTGTAAGTCAGGTCAACAGAGTCAGCAGGACAGATTTCACAGACAACAGTTTTGGTGCCATTGAAGGTCTGTGCTCCAAACCTAAAGATACTACTGTGATCTTCCTCAGCACTGTAGGAAGTGTGACATTTGCCATAGCATTATGTACACTGCAGGCACCTCAATGTGAACTCCAACATGAAAATTCAGTTTCCAGGGCAACCTTGATACCACACTGTCCTGACTAACCAGAAATGACAGCACTCCCCACTGTTAACACAGCTAACCTGTGAATTATTTTTCCTGCAGAGACGCTGGCTTTCTACCCTCTTTGGTACTGCTTTGACACAATTTTATGAATGTTAGCAATGTTAAATTTGTATTCATGGCTTTGAAGCAGAATTTTTTTAAAAAACTCTTGAACTTGATTTTAAATTTCATGGTGATGAAATCATATAGTTCACTGAATTGGAAGATTCCTCATCCTTAAAGCAAATTTAAATTGGCAATTTGAACCATTATATGAAGAGAAAATTGTCATACGAAGAACTAAATTTAACACTGAAAGTTATGTGGTCATACGACTCCCTCCCTGTGTCTGAGATAGGATCCTGTTACGTTTCCCAGGCTGGCCTGGAATGCTGAACCCTCCTGTCTCAGCCTCCCGGATGCACTGTTACACTCAGATGAATGGTTACAATTCTTACCACATAATGAAAGGATTTGTTGCTGGCCAGACTTATGAATTTCTTTCCTGTTACTAATCAAAAGTAGAAGCAGGCCTGGAGAGGTGGCTCAGCAATGGCTGTTTTTTCAGAGGACTAGACTTTGGATCTCAGCACCCACATCAGTTGGCTTACAAATGCTTAAGCTCCAAGGGTTTCAATCCCACCATCCGGCTTCCATGGTCATCCATACACACAGAGAGACACACAGACAGACAAATAAAAATAAAATAAATGACTTTTAAGTAGAAACGATATTTCTACCCTTAAAATGTCTCTTCTTGGCTTTGAAATGTCATTTGACTTTAAGAGTCTATAATATTAACCCTCGAGGTCCGGTCTTGATTTGCTTCTTAAGTATGCATGACTGTAGCAGGAAGGTGTTATATCACTCATATCTTCTAAAATATCCAGAAGCTATGGAAAAAGGCCAATTCATGTCCCATTACATGACTTACCATTAAATCTTCATGCATAATAACCAAAAAATACACGGAGCATTTGAGGACCTTTACTAAGAATTCAACACCCCCTTTAATTATGTGAACAAAAAGAAGCCCACAAAAGTCCAAGGACTTAGATTTGGAACTGGAGACCAAACTCCCAGCTCACCACAGCCACAAATTCTTGCCTTCCCTTCACCAATCAATAGCACCCTGTTCTTTTTAGGATCTTGCATGCTGAGTAGAATGGAGAAACTGAAAAGAGTATGGGGAGACTGAGTGATGTTTAATGGCAACATACCAAAGCTGAGAAAGAAAGAAAAAAGAATTATATTTTCCCCTAAAGACTTTAAAATAACCCTGGGAACCCAGAGAATTAAGATGTTATTGGATATTAAGTTACTATGGAATTTGTACTAAATCTTTAAAAAAATTAAACATATTTAGCTCTATTTTAGTGTTTACCCCTAAGGATGGAGAAAGAACCAAATGAAAACATTGATCACTTAGGAACATTATTCGTGGAATGCCTAAGGAATGCTCGCTTGCCTTCTCCATTTACTATACATGAAAAAAGGAAATTAAAATGTGTTACAATTTTTGCAGCTTACGTCTTAGAGATCCATATGTTAAGTCGATCCAACTCTCATCATTTAGGAGCACTTAATAATAATAAGCTACTGCTGCTGTGATGGAAAAGAAATGCCCTTATGAACTTACATGGTTTTCCTCACATCCTGGCTTCCCAAACCTACTTCTTACGCTCTGTCTGTATAGTAGTAAGCTCTTGAATGGAGGACAAGCCCAACTTTCTTTTTTCTGGTGCAATGATGGTTTAATTCCTCTTAAACTCGAGTGCTTACTAATCTACACAGTGCATTTTTTTATTGTCAGATAGAGCAGGCTGTGTGTGCATTTGGGTCGGGGGACTGCTAGATTAAGTGTATTTTTTCACTATGGCCTAGTAGGAATTAAAATGTGGATTCACTTTTGGTTACTTCCACAGGGCCACTGAGACATGACCCCTGAGCATGTGGGCTTCCTACTACAGAAGGCCAAGTGTGCTGGTACCAGAAGATGTGAAGGTGGTGAAGAATTAGGTTAGAGAAGGGAGCATATGCTGCTGCCAGTGTCCCCTTCGTGGCCCGGGAGCAAAATGCATCCTGCTGGACAAATGCACTTCCTCCTTTTAGGCTTAGAACGATGGAGTACCTTGGGATAAGGAAGAATTTTGCAAGCAACTGTATAAAAACACCTGAAGGAGAGGTTTTTACTTAGTAATGCCCATGTCCTTACTACAAGCAGATACCCAGCCACATAGTGAAAGAGGGCATTTCAATTTAATAAAAAGATAACATCACATGCCAAAATGTCTATGTTAGAGCCTACTTGCCTTTCTGTAAGTACATGAGTAAAATGCTTCAGTGTACTATTTTGTAAGTATACAAGAACTCAGGTATTTTCTTTCATCCCATGGAAAATATGACTTGAAATTTCTTGCTAAGATCATTCTGTATCCTCAAAGACCAATTCCATTTTTCTAGGTGGGAAACTGAACGTTTAAAATTGAATAACAATAGTAAACATGGAAATGCACTGACCAGGCTGACCTTCAAGGAAGGATTTGTTACCTCACTTGTCAACCTTTCAGGGGCCTCCTCATCTTCAGAGACACCTTTCTCACAGTTATGCGCTAGAAAAGGAATATGTTTATATTCATTGCCCAACAGAGGCCTGGGTCCCTTGGTCCAGTGAAGGTCAACCGTTATAACTAGTCCTGGCTCCAAACCTGTGCGCAGGGTTCCCTTTGTAGCCAGGTGCTCTTCTCTGTACGTTGGTGCTCATCCTAATAAGTAGCAGCACCACAATCTCCATCAGTAGCTATTTGCCTATAATTGGGTCTAACCCGTCAAGTCTCATTCAGTGACTCATAGTATTCAAGTGAGTATTTTGAACTGGGTGCAGTGTCACAAACAAAATCCCAAGGCTTGAAAGGTTGAAGTAGAAGGATTTTGAGTTGGAGGCCAATTTGAACCACATAACAAGTTCAGAGCTAGCCTGGGCTACATAGCAAGACCTTGTCTAAAAAAAAGAGTCTTCCAGTATCCTTTAAATGCAAGATTTAAAACTGTGTGCCAATACCTATGTCAGTAAGAATTCTAAATGCTATAGACATTGGAATGAAAAAGTCACAGCCTTATTATTCTTTAAAACTTTTAAGTTATATGTATGCATATGTGTCTGTGAATGTGGATGCAGTTTCCCACAGGGGTCAGAAGAAGACATCAGATACCCTGGAGCTGGAATTACAGGGAGTTATGAGCCACCAGATATGAGTGCTGGGAACTGAACCAAATCCCAGAAATTTTTATTCTCTTAAAAGTGATCACCAGAACTAATAGGCTCATCATTATCTCAAAGTGTAGATAAAGTGTCTGTGTATGCAAACGCATATGAGAAGTCCTATCACTATATGAGAGCTCACTTTCTAAACTCTTGTTTGTGATTACAAATAACTATTTTTTAGAGATGTGTTCTCTTCAATCTTTCATGTACTTCAAGTATGTATTTTCTCCCTTAACCTTGCTATATGCTATTTCCCCCCTTTTTGTTGGAGGCATTTCCTTCTTTTTCCTTTATTGGGTTCTACAATTACACTTCATGACTCTTCAGACAGCCATTGTTGAAAGGAACTATGAAAAAGCACAACACCAATATAGACTTCAGTCTGAGCAAAAATAGAAGGTAATATAGTCCAATGCTTATCATTTCTATAAGGTTTTAGATCCTTTGTTTATTGACCATACTCAAGAATCAAGATGGACAATTGAAGGACACTTAAATGAGTGTTTGCTGTTTTTGGAACCAATATAGTGTGAATTTATCTGGTTCTTTGTCCACTCACCTCTCATTGAATATTAAGAGTGTAAAGTCCTGGACCAGGTTGCCTCTGTTGCACGGTTAACCACATGGCTTAGAGCAAGTTCCTAGTCGTTTGTGTGTGTTGGCTTCTACATCTTTAAGATAAAGATGAAGGAAATATGAATATATTCTCTGACATTATTTTGAGGATTAAAGACATGTCATGTGTAGGACCTAAAACCATACTTGACACTCAGTGAGCACTCCCGAGTAACCATTATCAATGATTCCTATTTATGTTCTCACATTTTTAATAAGCTACTGTTTGTCAATTATAGCTTTGCTCAAACTGAACGTTATTTTTAATGAATTTTTTCCAGCAAAAATGTATTATATGTTGTTTTTATGTGTTAATTCTTTTTTTTTACGAGACAGGGTTTCTCTGTATTGTTTTGGAGGCTGTCGGTCCAGCCCGGCCTCGAACTCACAGAGATCTGCCTGCCTCTGCCTCCCGAGTGCTGGGATTAAAGGCATACGCCACCACCGCCCGGCTTATGTGTTAATTCTTAAACTTCTTATTTTCTTACTATACTGAACTGATAGGAAAAATTAGAGATCATTGTTCTTCCATAGACTGTTTTTATCTTGTATT